CCCAGTGCAGCCCCGGGCTCAAGACCCACCCCAGAAGGGGCTTTGCTGTTCTTGCCAGAGCTCACAGGCTGGGGTTCTGTGGACTTACACAGGCTGGGGTTCTGTGGGACTCTGCACTCCACTCCCCACCTGCCGACTGTTGCCTTCCCTGTTCAACCGCCTCTCCCTTTCCATGGCTTTTGTATAGCACACTTGAAAAAATAGGTGTTTTTTATTGATAATTTATAACTTAATTATAATAAAATTGAATATTTTATCAATTCTTTGAGATTTTATATGTGCATATGATGTATGTTGATCATATCCCTCCCTCTACTTCTACCCCTAACTCTTTCTGGATCCACCCCTGTCTTATCTCTCTCCCTCTCTCTCTTTTTTTTTTTGTCTCATAATGCATTGAGTCCTGTTTGTGCTTCCCATATACTCATGGGTGTAAGGCTCTCCATCAGAGCATGGAGCATGGTTAACCTACCAAAGGCCACACCCTTTAAGACAATGGACTCTCCCTCTTCCTGCAGCCACTAACTTGATGGTCAACAGTTCCTCAGGTAGGGATGGGGCCTTCTGAGGTCCCTCCCTTCCAGCCGGAATATTGACTAGCTTGCTCTTGTTCTGGTCTTGTGCAGGCAGCCACATCTAAGAAGCGGTTTTTGCTTTCTTCTGTTCAGTTTTTGTTGCCGTTGTTTGCAGGGCTGGGGAGGGGACCTAGGGCTTTGGACATGCTAAGTGAGTGAACTGTTTCCCCAGCCTCACAGCACCCTTCTTAGTTATTTTCCTTGTCACAGGCTGGATGGGCTTCATAGGTGATGCACAATGTGTGCTTCCCGCTCTACTTCCTCGCTACACCTCTCCCACCGTCTCCTCTTTGCCTGCATCTTCCTTTCCTTCCCCTCTTCTTTCTTCTTTGTCTTACCTTGCTTGGTGTAAGAGCCACTCTCAACCGTCACAGACATAGGCACGGCTGGGATCACTTCCTGGGCTCCCACATCTGGAGCTGGGAGGGTACCACTTCTCTCTGCAGCATCCCAGTGCTTCCTTCTTCCCTTACCACTTATCCTTTGGTCTGGCTGAGGCCATCCTTGTTTGACATGATTTCAGGGTCCTGTGCATTCCCTGGGCAAAGCTCCTGATTGTACTTTACAAATATATGAAATACAGAGCCTGGGAACATCGAGGTGTGCTGTTGGGTATGAGCCCCCATCCTATGGTCTGTCCCGGGGGCTTTCCTGTTATTTGCATGTACACAGGCAACACTCTGAGTGATGGCTATCATCAGAGCTCTGAAAATACTATTTGAGCTTTGAAGACATGCTTTTTTTCCTCTGGAGTTGATTTAGAACATCAGGACGTCAGGATTAACTGGACTTGAGCAGCCATAGGAGGGTGAGGGCCTTTTCAGCCCCAGCAGTCCTCAGCTGTCCTGCCTGCTGAGCACTGCATGGGGCATCAGTTCGTTTTGCTAACCATGACTAATTTCCTGCAGTGGCATTGCCCCATGAGGCAGCATACTCCTCACCACTGCCTCCTGCAGGGTTATTGACAAGGCATGCTCTGTTTTCTTGGCCTTGGGTCCTCCCCACCAAGACACCATGGGGCTGCACAGAGACATACAGGGAGTGGTGATGACCCCATGCTTGTTATTCAAAGGCAAGCTGAGAGCTTCGATCCCATGCTCCCTGTAAAGTCCATCTGAGCAGCAATTCCAATTCTGTTTGCCAGCATGTCTCACCATCATCTGTCCCCAAGTGCTACCCAAACTCTTTTTTTTAAATCATGTTCCATCTACTCCTTCTCTACCATTCTGGGGTGGGGGATGAAGTGGTTAGGGAAAGAGACAGAGGACCAAGGAACCTCAGATGTGCTGCTGAGAGGCTGGCTTCAGGCCTTAGTGAGTGCCAGGTAAGACATTGTGACTCATGTCATGGCCAAATGCAAGGCTATATAGACACATAGCTGGACAGGAACATGGACAGAAAGGTGACAGAGTCAAGGTTCCAGCCCATTGCTCTCTCTTTGACTGAGGCACAACTTTCCTTTCAGTGTGTTGGTTACCATGGGGTGGGGCTGCTTTAAGGGTATCAAGGTATTCCTTCTATTCATGAATATAGGACTTCCTACCTCCATATAGGGATCCCTTACTCTATCTGGAATTGTCCTACCTGATACACTGTGGCTTTTGGCTTTTGTCAAGTCTGATGTGGACATGTTAGGTAGGGATTGGGCTCTGGGTCAGGTTCCAGAAGGCTCCCTGGGGGTGGGATGCAGTGTTTGCAAATCCCATGTCCCTGCCTCAGTGGGATTTCTATGGAGATAAGCTGAAGCCAAGCCCCATTTGTTGTGTGAGGGGTATGGTCCTGAGGCAGGATCAGGAGACATGGAGGATGGAGCAGGGAGGGAAGGTTATAATCAGACTGTTTCGTCAGGACTGTCAACTCCCCAATAATGACATGGAGACTTACTATTAATTATGAAAGCTTGGCTCATAGCTTAGGCTTGTTTCCAACTACCTCTGATAACTTAAATTAACCCATTTCCATTAGTTTACTTTCTACCTTGTGGCTTTATTACCTCATCTCCATATTGCCCATCCTGATTGCTTTGCATGTCTTGGTGTCTCCACCATCTTTTCCCCAACATCCTCTCTGCTCCAAAAATCCTGCCTAGCTATTGGCCATTCAGCTTTTTATTAAACCAATCAGAGTGACATATCTTCACAGTGTACAAAAAGATTATTCCACAGCAAAGGGCTCTAAGCCTTAATCATCCAGGGCAGTGTGTCACCCAAAGCCACTTAATCTTGGACCGCTAGTGGTTCACACTGAAATGAGCCTGTCTCCAGGTCCCTTTGACTCCTGGGAGACTTTGGAATGGCCTTGAACCCAGCTGGCTCTGAGTCAAAAGTCATCAGTCAGTCCTGGGTCCCAGAGACACAGAGTCTGCCTTTTCAGGGTGATTCTGAAAAGTTGGAGTGACTGCTGTTTCTGCCCTTCAGCCCATGCTTGTCCCATGCTAACAAGCATGGTGAGCAAGCAGATTTTGGTTTGGTGGTGCAGATCCACTGGAGCTGGTCTCTTCCTTCCCACACAAGTCCTTTTCGGTCCTGGTGATGTCTTGGTGACTGTTCTAAACTGCTCCTGCATGCGGGTTGGAATTTCTATGGCTTCTCTGTGCTTTGGTTCCTCAGGTGTTTGGGAGCCGGGGCTCCCAGTGTAGTTGCCTCTGTGTGCTATATGGGACCTGGGATGTTTACAGCATGGACTTAGCTCATTACCAACAGCACTGCAGTGAATGCTTTCCCTCACAAAGCTCACCATCCCCATTCTTCCTCTGCTTCTTAACTCCCTCTACTTGGTTAGGTCTGTCTGGGAGCAGCTCTAGACATCAGTTGGGGCATTGCAGCCTGAACTTGCTCTTAGCAGGACTTTACTTAGATTCTGATGGCCACAAACACAGGATTGGCTCACCAAAGATTATGTCATTGCTCCCTACTCCATTCCCATGCTCAGTCTGCCATCTCCTTTCTTCAACTCCACCCCCCATTGGGTAGTTTGAACTTAGGACTTGGGTATCCCTCTTACTGATCTGCTTGGATACTATGAGTTCTAGAAACTTGTCTATAGTTTGTATAGGACAGAGTCAAATCGTGTGTGTGTGTGTGTGTGTGTGTGTGTGTGTGTGTGTGTGTGTGAATGCAGTACTCCCAGAGGCCAGAAGGGGGCATCAGATCAGATTCTTTGGATCCACAGGCTATTAAAAGCTAGTCTCCATAGGTGCTGGGAACCAAAATCTGTTCCCCCAGGAGAGCAGCAAGCTCTCTTAATCACTGAAACAAGATCTCTAGTCTCTGGCCTTTCCTGTTTGAAAAGTCAGAAAACAGGGTTGGGGATTTAGCTCAGTGGTAGAGTGCTTGCCTAGCAAGCGCAAGACCCTGGGTTCGATCCTCAGCTCAAAAAAAAAAAGTATTCCTTTGAAAAGTCAGAAAACATTAACTCCAAGTACCAACTGTTCTCTGTGAACCTCAGTTTGTTATCTTTAAGATGACAATAAGAATTGCTAGCCTAGGAAATGGTGGTGAGGACCACACTTAAAACACCCCCAAGAGGCTTGCAGAAGAGAGAGTGGGTCATGCTTCTAAAGGGGCAAACAGTGTTGCTACTGTCACTCACTGGGGATAGTATTGTGACTTACAGTCAGTACAATCAAGTGAATTGACACAGACAGTTCCCTCTTACTTCAAACATGCAGAAATTATGGACACTCTATAATGGAAAGACATAGTAGACCTTGGAAGCAGTGGAAAGCGTCATTTATCAGAAGTGGGTGGGGCCCTGAGCTGGTTAGTTTTTTGTCACCTTGAGTGATTGAGTTAGAGTCATCTGTGAAGAGGGAGCCTCAGTTGAGAAAAGTACCCCCACTAGATTGGCCTGTAGGCAAGTCTATGGGACATTTTCTTGATTAATGATTGATGTGGAAGGACTCAGTCCACTGTGGATGGTGCCATCCCTGGGCAAGTGTCCTGATACTATAAGAAATGGCTTCTGCTTCAGTTCCTGCCTCCAGGTTCCTGCCTTGAGTTCCTGCCCTGACTTCCCTCAGTGATGGACTATGATTGGGGGCATGTAAAGCTAAGTAACTCTTTCTTTTCCAAGTTGCTTTTGGTCATGGTCTTATCACAACAGTAGAAACCTAGATGGAATAGGCCCTAGGCTCAAGTGAGTAGTGTGAGTTTTGAAGCAAGATCACATTCAGGGAGAAGTCTCCTGGCTGCAAAAGTGGGAGGAGCTACAATGGTTATCCCTTTGTAAGTTTGGTCTGACAAAAGCTGTTGCTTCAGTCAGGGGCCTCCATCTCTTTGCTGCCTTCTGCTTTGGGTTTCTGATTTTAGTATTTAACCCACTACATATTAAGTCTATTTACTTGCCAGAGTGTATAATCAAAGTCATTTGGTCCTGGTAGACAAGTATACCACATTACGGCTATATTATGTCTTCATCTCCCAGGATGCCTGGAATTTCCACAAAAGAGGCATTGAGAGAGCCCACTGCACTGATGATGATGATGATGATGATGATGATGATGATGATGATGATGATGGCAGAGTTATCTGAAATCTTCAGAATGACCACAAAGTGTTACAACGAATCAAAGGGATCATCCTGCTCATGGATGGAAGTGCATGGTGAAGAAGATGTCAGGTTGAACCAGAGGGAAATACAGGATTGTAAAATGTCATGAAACCAAGAGTTTATTGCCCCATTACTGTTCCTAAGGTGGTTATTCACTCAAAGCACAGAAGCATTTCTACTTCCAGTCTTAGGAAATGAGTTGGGGAGGATGAGGAAATTCAGCTTCTCTCCTCTGTGGGCTCATCATCCATTCAGGAAGTGGGGTCTCAAAGTCAAAGCAGCAGGGAGCATTTGTTCCTGTCTTTCACAAGCAGGTTCCTGGCCAGTAATCAATTCCAACACTCCCTGGAACAGAACACACCCTTACTTGCTAGGCTTGGAGCAGGCGATGGGAGGATTCAGTTGTAGTTGAAGACTACATAGTTATAATTATAATTTTCCTTGGTTATGATAAAAGACAAATTAGATATGAAACTTTAGACTCACAAATATAGGATAGTGATATTTTCTTTAATTTTACAAAAAGACTAGATATTGTTACTGTAATTCTTGCTTGATAACTGTTCTATTATATGTAATTTTACTATGTTAAAGTTAAAACCTTCCTTTTTGATTAGACAGAAAAAGGGAAGTGCTGTGGAATGTCATTCTGTATGCTATGAATGTGTGTTGCTCTAATTGGTTGATAAAACACCAATTGACCAGTAGCCAGTAGGAAGTATAGGCAGGATAAGCAGATAAGAAGAAGTCTGAGAAGAGGAAGGCTGAGTCAGGAGTTGCCAGCCAGACACAGAGGAAGCAAGATGATAAGACAGAACTGTGAAAAGGTACCAAGTCACATGGCTAAACATAAATAAGAATTTTGGGTTAATTTAAGTGTAAGAGCTAGTCAGTAATAAGTCTGAGCTAATGGCCAAGCAGTTATAATTAATATAAGCCTCTGCGTGTTTATTTGGAACTGAGTGGCTGTGAACTGGGTGGGACACAGGAAAACATCAGTTGCACTCAGTAAACATCTACTGTGTGTAGGGCTGACCCAGATATACAGCTTCAGAGCAGGTGTCTCTCATCCCCAGACAAACTGGCATCTCAACGGCAGTGGTGAAACATTTAATGTTGGACCATTGTGTCCCCAGAAAGTCGTAATGGAGCCATGAGGGTACCATTGATGGCCAGCTTCACTCAGACTTACTTTGGGTATAACATCCCCATTCTGGTTAGTCTAGTAAAAATCTGAATATCAACCGATTTAGTGATTAACTTACTAACATTTAGCAGTGGCTAAGGGCTTTACTTTTGGGGTTAGGGGTCCGTTACTTTATCTGGACTCTTTCTCTACCACTACTGCCTCTGTTATCCCTGGCACTTGGACATGGCATCCTTCCCATGTGGTCATCTGAGTCACTATCAGTGTGAAATGTTTGTGGCTAAGGGCATGTTCTAGGACAAACATTTAAGGCCAGCAGCAGGTCCTAGTGGTGTCTAGGGGCTCCAGGATTACCATGCCATTTGTCATCAAACTCCTCCAACCCAGTGGCTGGTGCAGTGACATCCATCAAGCAAATTGATCAGGCTTCAGAGAACAGGTCAGGAATGTTCTCTGGCATGGCAATTGGTGGACTTAATTGTAATTAATGACTAAGAATCCCTTTAAGAATTCATAACTAATTTAAAGAGACATGTAAGGATGCAAAATAGGCCCAGCCATCTTTAAATGCTTCACGTGTAACACATAATTACAGCAAGTGTCTTTCCTCTGACATGTGAAGGGATGATTGAAAGCTGCTCTGTAAATATCTCACCCCTCCCCCCATTGAGAGAGTGAAGAGATATGATTCACTAGGACACAAGCAGATAAAGTTCCAGTCACCCAGGGGCTGGTCCTTCTATTGCCAGAGAGATAGCTTTGGGTTGGAGGACTGGGATGAAGAGGAAGGGTTGTATCCAAAGTGGAAGGGTTGTATTACACTGGGTACCTTATTATAAAAAGGAAGGGTAGAGGAAGAAAGGGTTTTGGTGACACTCAAAACACTTTGCCAACAACAAGTGTACACATACAGAATATGGATAATGAAGACCATATTCTGTGCCTTGTGGGTGAGGGAGGACCACAAATCCCTTGATAACCTCTCTTCTCACGAGTCCCAATGGTCTCTGTGATCTTCACACTGAAGCTTTTGGGTATAGTCCTTAACCGACTGATAATTTCCACTCACTGTGGTTTGAATGTTGGCTTTGGTCCTGAGCTCCTACACTGGGAGCAGGTACAGTTTACCCACATGGGAAGGAATCAAGGCATGGCTCATAGCCCCTCTGAGACTCTGCCCACTGGCACAACTTGCCAGTCAGACAGTGCATAGTCTCCAAAGAACATCATCTGGTCTATGTGCAGCCATGTTCACTGATCACAGGGGCCACTACTGTTTTCCCGGCCCAGACCACAGATTGATGAGTAAAGACAAGATAGTGAGTAGCTTGAGTCAGGAGCTGTTGGGTGGTGCTTTAATTTTTCTTTCTTCTTTCATTTTTTTTTTTTTGAGACAGGGTTTCAAAAAACCCTATGTAGTTTTGGTGCGTGTCCTGGATCTCACTCTGTAGACCAGGCTGGCCTCAAACTCACAGAGATCTGCCTGGCTCTGCCTCCTGAGTGCTGGGATTAAAGGCATGCGCCACCACTGCCCGGTGGGTAGTGGTTTCTTACACAAGATCAGATGAACAGAAAAATTATGAGATGAGCTGTGTAGGCACATTTCTTTACTCAACTGCACAGGTTCATGGTCAAGCAAAAATAAACAAATAGTGCTTATTTATTTAATAAGGACAGATCCATGTTTTAACCAAGATCACAGTTTGAAAGCAGTGCTGAAAGCTCCCCAGTGATTGGCAAAATGATAGCTCAGGTGAGCCACAGGGGATGAAGCTGCATACTCCTTGGGTACCCCCAGAGCTTTGAGAGAGGCTAGTCCCTGCCACATCTAATAGAATAGGCTTGGCTGTGCATCCCAATCTACCCACTGAGAGACCAGTATTGGTGAAAAGCAGAAAGAGATTGATCAGCATGGCACAGTGGGTGCAGTGATCCCAAGTCCACCTTTGGGATGCTGACCTGGCCTTTAGACTTAAGTAGAAGAACTGGGGAGGACATAATCAAGTATTCCTAGGTATGTTGGGGTCTAGTTGATAACTGTCTCTATATTATTTTTATAGTGTGGTCCAAGAGTTCTTAATGAATGAGTGGACAAAGTAGATCTCAGGAAATGTCTCCTGTTCTATGGTTGGAAAATTGCCCTTGTTTGGAGGGGTGGTCTGTTGGCTCAGGTTCCCTGATGCTTGTGGGTAGTTTCAGTTTTACTGTAGAGATGTTTATCCACCAGTCTTGTTATTTGTTCCTGGATCCTAAAGTGGCTGCAGGTTCAGGACAATGAGCAGGGCACCTTTCATGGGTCTGGAACACAATGTTTTAAAAGCTGGCAGTAGTAACCTAAAGGAGACAGATGAAACCTGAAGAAAGGGATCCTGGGCTTCTATTCTACTTTTAGTTGCCTTTGGGCCAAAATGAGGAATTGATGCTTTTTAGCAATCATGGTTTCTAAGTGTCTCTGACAAGGGCTATGCAAGCCAGACACCTGCTGTGGGAGCCTCAGTGACTGCACAGGGTCTCCAGGTGTTCCAGTTAGGGTTTCTGTTGCTGTGATAAAACCCCATGACAAAAAGCAAGTTGGGAGTTTATTGGCTTATGCTTCCTCTCATCACCTATCATTGAAGGAATTCAGGGCAGAAACTCAAACATGGCAGGAACCTGAAGCTAGGAGCTCATGCAGAGGCCATGAAGGAGTGCTGCCTACTGACTTGCCTATAGCCTGACCTTATGGAGGCATTTTTGGAGTTGATTGTTTTTATACTTTTTGCTTTTTACTCTTTGTGGGGTCTACCACCCAGCTCCCAAATAAATACATGGAGTCTTATTTTTTCTTATGAATGCCCAGCCTTAACCTGGCTTGTTTCTAGCCATCTTTTCTTAACTTAATTATCCTGTCTACCTTTTTATTGGAATTTTCTCAGGGGCCTGCCCTGAGAAGAACCCCCCCCCCCAGAGTCCTGGGGAAGACACTACATCCAGCAGGGAGTTATCTTAGGGAAAAGAATCTATGTGCATCATGCTATTTCGTCCATTTACTTTATTTCTCTAAGACAAAATTCTATCTCTACAACTTCAGCTTTGTCCTCACATTCAGCTTCTCTTTGTACCTACTTTTCCTGTCCTCTCATAGTCCTAACTAAGCTCCTGTGCTTTCAATCTTATCTTTGTCCTCTATTTCTTTACCCTTCATCTTTCCTTTTTTGCTCCTTTCCTCGGCCTGAGCCAGTCTTCCTTACCATCTATAGAAACTCTGCCTTATTCTCTTCTCTCTGGCCATGCTGCTCTGCCTGGACCAGGAATTCTGCTCCAGTCTTTACTGCACCTGGTTATGCAAAAAGCCCTATTGTCTTGAGTCAATCGCTTTGCAATGCTACTAGGCCTGAGGGAAAGGAATAGTCTGAGCTTCATTTGCACAAGGAACAAAGCTATGCATCTACAGTCTGCCTGTCTCCTAGGCTCTTTATTTATTCTCTCTGCCTGCCAGCCTCACCTATCCTTTCTCCTGTCTTGCTATTGGCCATTCAGACCAATCAGGTGTTTTAGACAGACAAAGTAACACAGCTTCATAGAGTTAAACAAATGTAACATAAAAGAATGCAACACATCTTTGCATCATTAAACAAATGTAACACATCTTCAACTAATATTCCACAACACATTTTCTCAACTGAGGCTCCCTTCTCTCTGATGATTCTAGCTCAGGTCAAATTGACATAAAACTATCTAGCATCCCGGGGAAGACTGGAAGACACAATAGAAAGGGAGCTAGAGTTGCTGGGAGACGGTATGTGGGGGGGGGGGACGGGGGGACGGACGGACGACACGGGACTTGTCAAATCATGGTAGCAAATAGAACAACAGATGCTTGGTGTTAGGAGTGGGCAGGTACAAGCTACCTTGGCAGAGACTGTTTCTCACAGGCAGCATGATTTGTGCACTCTGGCTGTTTTGGAAGTTGAGTGTTCTGGAG